TTTCAGGGAGAAAACAATGTCTTGTCAAATTTCTTCCCATGTGAGTTAAAGATTTTTGGAGAGACTTTTAAGTCGGCGGAGCAAGCCTTCCAAACAGCAAAGGCGCTAAGATCCGGCGATGTTGTTGCAGTGGAGCGCATTCGTAATGCCAAGACTGCCCTAGAAGCAAAACGCATCGGCAATCTTGTCCAAAAATCAGATCAATGGAAAGAAACGGAAAAGGGAGTCATGGAACAAATCATCGCAGAAAAGGTAAAACAATGCGATAAAATGAGAGACACACTGAATTCCTTTAAGCCGTCTGTGTTCTTTGGACACCCAGTTTATGATCCTTACTGGGGAACTGCCCTGTCATATGAAGAAACAATCAAAACATCACCAACGGCCTGGCCAGGAAAAAACATGATGGGGGAGATAATTGCTTGCGCCGCCGAAAACCTTAGAAAAAGCAGGAAAAAAAGATCAACAGAGAAACGGTAATTAATAAGTTAAAATGAATGAACAAACTGAACTTTTCTGTATATGTCAGTTTTAAAGTTTTTGTCGTTAAATGCTCGCGGGCTTAATGACTATTCTAAGAGGCAAACTTTATATGATTGACTTAATGATATTAATTGCAAAATTGTTTTTCTACAAGAAACTCATTATGTAACTGACAAAGAAAATATTTACAATGCTAGATGGCATGGTTCAAGCTACCATTGTTTTTCTAATTCATCTCATAGTAGAGGGGTATCTGTTTTATTTCATGAAAGTTTACCTATCACTGTACATAATGTACACAAATCAGACGATGGGAGGAGAATATTAATTAATATTGAGTATGAAAATTTTTTTATAACTCTAGTTAATATATATGCACCAAATTCAGAAAATGAGAGATGTAAATTTTTCAAAAAACTTGCATCATGGGTTTCTCAATATTGTTTAAATGAACAAAACATAATTTTAGTTGGAGATTTTAATTCCTTGTACAATGCAAAAAACAAAAGTTCTAAAATGATTAATGATTTAAAGTTTAAATTTCGGCTGATAGATTTATGGGAAAAAATTAATCCTGAAAAAGAAGGAAATACATGGTGCGATTCAAGTAATAAACCTAAAAGTAGAATTGATTACATATTCACTTCGGAGAATTTATGTTATCCGGTTGAAAAGATATTACTTAGAAAACCTCCAGATGTTTCAAATACTAGAATGAGCGACCATAGATCATTTATTTTTTACTGTACTATATCGAAAAATAATAGAGGTAATGGTTACTGGAAAATGAATACGTCGATTTTACAAGACGTGGAATTTTGTAACATTATCAAAAACTTCTTTGAAGATCTACCTGAAAATATTAGCAACCAAACAGATCCACAAATAAGATGGGAAATGATCAAATATCAAATAAAAGAGCTATGCATTGAATATTCTAAATCGAAAAACAAAAGCGTAAAAAATAGAATTAAACGAATAGAAAAAGAAATTGAAGAAATTGAAATGTCTAAGTCTGATGATATAAATATGATATATAAAAGAAATTTGGAAAAAGAACTAGATAAGTTATATGCATATAAATCAAAAGGGGCCAGGGTGAGAGCCAAAGCTCGTTGGATTGACGACGGAGAAAAAAACACATCTTATTTCTTAAGATTAGAAAATAAACACCAATCACATAATGTCATAAATAAATTATCAGTGGGAGATAACTGTGTTTATGAAACTCAAGACATTTTAAACGCACTAAGTTCCTACTATGAAAAACTATATTCGTCTAGCAATATATCAGTAAACGATATTAATCAATATTTGCAAGAAACGGAACTTACTAATTACCTATCTGATGAAGATAGAGAAAATTGCGATAAAATTCCTGAAATTGAAGAATGTGCAGAAGCTGTATATAATATGAAATTGAATAAATCACCGGGATTAGACGGAATTCCCGTGGAATTTTATAAGATGTTTTGGAAATATGTAAAAGTTTATTTATATGAAAGCCTATTGAGATCCTTCGAGGTAGGCGAATTATCATTTACGCAGAGATCTTCTGTTCTATCACTCATACACAAAAAAGGGAGCTTAATAAATCTTGATAACTATCGTCCTATTAGTTTAACAAATTGCGACTATAAAATAATAGCCTTCGTATTTGCAAAGAGACTACAAATGATTATGGACAAACTCATTAATAAAAATCAAACTGGATATATCAAAGGAAGATTTATTGGTGAAAATGCAAGGTTAATACTAGATATATACGATTATTGTGAAGAAAATAATGAAGAAGGAATACTATTGTTTGCCGATTTCCAAAAAGCTTTTGATTCAGTTGAATGGAACTTCTTATTTCAAACTCTTAAAAAATTCAATTTTGGAGAAAATTTCCTAAGATGGATAAAAATTTTATACACAAAACCTTATTTTCATGTTAAAAATAATAACTGGTTAACTAGAAAATGTACAATGTCAAGAGGCATTAGGCAAGGATGTCCCGTCTCAGCATTGCTCTTTCTTTTTGTTATTGAAATCATGGTATTAAAAATAAATGCCTCTGAAAGTATACAAGGTTTCAAAATTGGACACTCAGACGAAATAAAATGTTTACAGCATGCAGATGATTGCACTTTGCCAATGAAAAATACTGAATCCTTAAAAGCGTCTATTAAAGTTATACAATCTTTTGGGAAAATGTCTGGTACTAAGTTAAATTTAGAAAAAACAGAGGGTATTCTCTTGGGACCCCTTAAAAACACACGAGAGGATATAGAAGGAATTAAAATGACAAATAAACCTATTAAATCACTCGGAATTTTCTTAGGACACGACAAAATATCTAATAATGAAAAAAATTGGTTGCATAAGCTTAAAGAATTTGAAAAAATATTAGATTCATGGAGAACAAGAAGCTTAACTTTTTTCGGAAAATGTACCGTTATTAATTCACTCATAGTGTCTAAATTATTATATGTGTTTACAGTTCTCGAAAATCCAGATGTCGAATACATTAAAAGTATAAATAAAATTATTTACAATTTTTTATGGAATAAGAGAGAGAGAATTAAACGCAATGCACTTATAAGGCCAATAAATGAGGGTGGTCTTGGTTTAATAGATATCGAATGCAAACTTAAAAGCGTAAAAGCCGGATGGATCAAAAGGCTATACAATGAGAACTCTACGCTTAGAATTTTTTTAGATAACGCATTAAAAAGTTATGGAATAAACTTTGAATATCTATTACGTAGTAATATTATAAATCCGAATGATTTCAACGTTTTAAACAAATTCTCGAAATTTTACAAGAATATTTTCTGTAGTTTTAACGAATGTAAATCGTTATCACAAAATTACAGAAAACTTATGGTTAAACAGTTTCATTAAACACGACAATAAACCACTATATCTAAAAAAACTGGGCAAGAAGTGGTGTTCTATACGTAAAAGATCTGTTTACAACAGAAGGTATGAAAGATATTACGGATGTAAAAGAGATCATTGAATCAAAAAGTAATTACTTATGTGAATATCTAATAATGAAAAAAGCAATTAAAAAGCTAAATATATATTACTGTAATGTAAAAAACACTAATATACAAAAACCCTATTTTTATTTTCAAGGAAAAAGTAGAAACCCAGAATTTGAAAAATCAGGATTTTATTATAAAATTCTACTTTCTAAAAAGAAGCAAAAGCCAATAATGGAAACGAAGTGGTCAAAAGAATTCAATATAACAAATGGTCAATGGAAAAATATTTATACAGCTAAGATATTAAATGTATTTGATAAACAGATAGCAGAATTCAATTTTAAACTTTTACATAACCAGCTGAATTGTAATTATAATGTAAGTAAATGGAATAAAGAGGTGGGGAAAAATTGTACAAGTTGTGGACAAGAAGAATATATTGAACATTTAATTTTAGAATGTTCGGATTCAAAAAGATTATGGGAAAAAATATCAAAAATATTGAAATTAAATATATCCTGGAAAAATATTGTTGTAGGATTTTTTAATGAGCTTAACGAAACAACAAAAATTTTTAATAATGTCATATCAATTGTAGGTTACAAAATATACAAGTACGAAATGAAATGTAGATTACAAAATGAAAATGTAAATGCACATGCAATGTTATCTTTTTTAAAATCATCATTATATCAGTTCAATTAAATTACCATCTTTTAAAAAAGTTAGCGGACCAAATATGATTTTCTTTGTGTATGTATTTTGAGAAGTATATAAATTAAGATATTTCATCTATGATACTTATTTTATTTATAAAAAAAATATTATACAATGATATATAAGCATATGTATAGAAATGAAATGTCAGCAATGATATGTATAACTATACATGTAATTTTTTTTCTCATTTAATGTATATTATTTTGTAAATTAAATATTATAATAAAAATACCGATCCAGGGAGCTCCAGGCACCCCAGGTGAGGTATATACAGAGGGCTTCTGCGGAAGTTTTGCCTCAATATTTTGTTGTATGTTATTGAAAATAAATATATCATTTAAAAAAAAAAAAAAAAAAAAAAAAAAAAAAAAAAAAAAAAAAAAAAAAAAAAACTAAATAAGCAATTATCAAACAAATCTTCAATTACATTATTCCTTTTGGGCTACATTGATATTGTTTTTAATAAAATATCAAATGTTCCTCACATTCGATGTGCCGCCTATTAATACAATACTGCCTGGTTTTTCGGTGGACTGCCTCTTAATAACTTCACAGCTCAAAAATTCAGCTGTACCCTAAGAAAAAAAGTATCAATTTTTTTTACTATAGTAAATCAAAGTATTTTTACTATGGATTTCAGATTGTCATATTTTTTGTTCTTCAATTCATACACGCACATATCTTATATCAAATGGAACTATTATTTGTATATTCACATATTATTTCCAAATTTTGCATTCTGATTTTCAAAAAGCAGTTTTTATTATTTGTATTACATATACATGTACTATTCAGTATATTAGATTGTTTTATAAAATTCAGTTTATAAGTATAAAGACTGTGCAACCATACTACTGAAAAATCCAGGTCGGAAAGGAAAGAATGGTGTATATACAATTTATCTGGATGGAAAACAAAAGAAGAAAGTGTATTGTGACATGACAACAGAGGGAGGGGGTTGGACTGTAAGTTAAAATTTAACAGTAACATGTTCTTTGTGTACAAAAACTAATTTCATTAGAACAATAAAGAGATCTGCATATTTAAACACATGCACGGGTTTATTATTAAAACCTACGTAATGTCAGGGCAGATCAGAGAGAAAACACTCTTAAATGTTTCAGGCTATACAAAGAAGACAGGACGGGTCTACAGATTTTTACAGGACGTGGTCAGAATATAAACAGGGGTTTGGTGATCCCTCAAAAAACTACTGGATTGGTTAGATTAGTTTATGTAACATTTAAATTATGAGGTATCTTTTTAAATGTTGTGTAAAATCACCAATTTTTGATAAATATGTCCAGTTGTAGTACCTTCAAATTTGTGAGCCACTCTTCTAATATCCATCTATGTAATTATATGCCTAAATGTGTAATATTATTAATATCAATTGTCACCCCAAAAGTAGACACAATATCAAATTTCGTTTTCTCTGTAAAAAAAATTATTTGCACAAAAAATGAAATTATATTTTCTTTATGTATTATTCACTTTATGCACATAACCTCGTGCATAAATTTTTTATGAAGTAAACAGCATAGGTATCATTTCCTTATTTTTTTTTTTAATGCATAGATATTCATAACCCAATTGTACAGATCTTATGCGCGTTTAAACTTTCTCTTCTATCCGTTGTAATATTTGATCTTCGTTCCTTAGATTGATTAATTTATTGTATGTTGTTTTACGCCCCATTCGAGAAATTTTCACTCATATAGAGACGTCACCATATACCGGTGAAGGGTTTCAAATTTAGACCTTTATTCGGCACTCAGGGCCATTGAGCAGTGAGAGATCTTTATCGTGCCAACGCCTGCCGTGACACGGGGCCTCGTTATTTAAGGTATCATCCAAAGGACCTGCAACTTTCACTTCAAAGTGCCGAGCGCATGGCGAAGGAACAGTTGCGACCTATTTTTTAGCGACTTAGATCAGTCGCGACCGAGATTCGAACTCACGACCTTCCGATCACGGAGCGAGCGCTCTGTCGACTGAGCTACCGTGACGGTTGTTCCTTTGATATTTTACAATAAATGAATTAAAATTTTAGATTTCAATCATTTTCTCTTTTTAAAGAATCAGCTAACGCACAATGTAGCATTGAAAATAAACGTGAAAAAAAAAATATTAGCACATCATGAGAACAATTTTTAGTTTTAGAATATTATACCTTTAAAATTTGCATATTAAACCTACATGTATTTATACACCTTAATTTACATGTTCTTAAAATCCATGCAAATAAAAAAGCTTCTTATTTCAACAAGTTGTGGAAGACACGAATTTTTAGGATGTCTTCAAACCAGAAAATCAACGAAATTTAACCTCACAAAATTAACGATTTCACTTATATATTATTAAATTAACAGGAAACTCTGTCTGTCGATTAGAGCAGAATTAAGTAGCTATTATTGTAATGAAAGTATTCTTTTCAACAGAAGATTTGGAATTTTAGTGCAACGTAAGCTTTTCTCGTTTCACAGACAAACGTACAAACGTACAAAATGCTAAAATCAAACATATGCAAATGGATATGATTTGTGCATGTGGTGCCAGTACTTATTATGGAAGTGTTATAAGTATTGACTAATTTCAAAAATTGGACAGTTTTGAAAATAAATTCTCTTGATGACGGAGATATTTTTTCCAAACACGCTGTTTTCAAATTTATATAACATAAGCAAGTTATAGTCAACACTTTACAATAAAATTCTATTAAGTAAGAGTTCTGATATTTCTTTCTAAGGAAATGACGCAATCTATGAGCTGACAAGGAACAAAGACCAGGAACTCCGGGTTGAGCTACAAAGATTTAGTGGCGCTAAAGCATACGCTCAGTTTTCCACATTTTATATCGGGGACGAAGACAGTAAATACAGACTCACTGTGTCAGGGTATTCAGGAACGGCGGGTAAGTCTTTTATATAATTTTACATTCATAAGTGTGAAAAAAATGATAATAAGTATTTATAATAAATACAGATTTTTTATTCGCTTTTGTGTTCATTCATTCATACTTTATTTCCATTTTGCAGTGATTAATGAACGTCATACAAAATACACATAAAGAAAATCATACCTAATAGATAACGACATGTAATAACACACATACACACAAGTGCAATGCATGTGCACGTATATAGAAAATGAAATATTTACACAGGTTGAAACCACCAGCTAAGGGTCATTGCTTGAAATTCATAAAATACTTCTGAAACTGTTGTCAGAATTTAAAAAAAAGTAATCGTGAAACAGAAAGGAAAAGGCTTTGGGGAGCATCCTTCACTGATAAAAGACTACTTTTATAGTAAGCCCAGACACTGCAAATAAGACTAAAGTTACGGAGGTGTATATGTTTTGGAATGAAAGAAGGGAACGAATGGTGTTCGACTTACCGCCTAGCAAAATTAGATACAACTCCTTATTGTGTTGAGTACATATTTCAACACATAAATGAATATTAATTAGTTGCTTAATTCTTCCCATCATCGATTTCGTATATCAAAGATGACAAGGCATGAGCACGACGCATATTTAAAGAGATTAATATTTACTCTAGTATAGCTCCGTAAAGGGAGCAAATTTCCGCAAACTCTTATGGAGTTTCCGAGACTAATTTTCATATTAATGTGATTTGCACAAAGTAATCTTGTAACAGTTTGAAAGTTTTATGTTATTTTTGGGCGCATTCAGTATCTATGGTTTAGGATTTTAGACCCTTTCTTAGGGGTATCCAAAGAAAAAAACGTATAAAGATTGAAATCTGGTGAATGCAGGTGTCAAGCTCTTTCCTTAGGGTCTTGCGTTTATGGGAATCTGTACATTGATAACTTCATTTCATAATTTAAAGTTCGATGTACTCTGTAAATGCTGATATTGCCAGCATCAATTTCTGAAGACACTATTCTAATGAGTTTGCAAACCATTATATAGTCTCCATTTCACCAACAAAGTCCTTCTTTCTTGAAGTCCTTAGTTTATGTTTTTTTTTTTTTCAATACACACCACCTTTATCATCCAATGTACGTGAAAATATCACCTATGTTATGAACAAAGAGTTCATGAAGAACTACGAACTAAATCTCTTTTCCCGCCTAGATTTTAAACCCACCTAATTCAATAAAGCTTGCATTCTGGGCATATATTTATATACACTTAGTTGAATACAAAGAATAGGTCAAAAGCAATTGTTTTATTTATCTAAAAGCAGCGTCAAAAAGATAATTACTTTTTTAACAACTCTTTTCATAAGGTGGGTAAAAGATTTTATCCATTGAAATCAGGCTTTAAAACATCACCTAATTTTCAAATATGCATCGAAATGGATGAATGGCATTTAAATCTTTCCGTATATTATAAGTATGTAAAATTCAATGTATAAGATTAATCTAATACATTTTTAAAATTTGTTGTGTCATTCGAAATCGGAAAAAATGTGCATTTTTGTTGTGCTTTGTCTGTAGACATATGCCCCCCCCCCCCCCCCCCCCCCGAAACACAAAACGCTTTTGTATGAATTTGTGAAATAACACTCCATAATACCTGTAAAAAGGGAATTTTTGTTTCACGGGTGTAGGGATGTTTTAAAAATGTTTTCCGTTGATTTCTATAGTGATAAGCAGAAGTTTTTCCAAGATTATAGATTTATCTTTCTTTGTTTTTTCAAATAAGTTATTTTTTATGAAAATTCACATTAATACAAATATGGAAAATCATTCAAATATGTTAACTTTTGAAAAATGACTTGGAGATAGGCTGCAGAACAATACAATCTTTCGCAAGTCTTTATCATCAGTTTTGCCCTCACACAAACCATTTTTTAGTCGAAGTTGAAAACTGTATCAAATACCGAATACTAGATACCAAGCATTACAAACTGCGAATAAAAGTTACAAACTGCCAAAATAATCGTACATACTTTTAGTTCTTATATTAAATAAAAATTATGTGAAGCATAGAATATACGGTAGCCCATCTGTGCTCTATAGACGATGATTTCCGGTTGTCATTGTGTCACACGTCAGTGGTCGGGAACCCTGGAAATTAACATGGAATGTCTCGTGTATCTCCTTTCTATCGGACAGAATTTTTGATTGATTTATATTTTTATTTCACATGTAAATGTCAATATAAGGAATCACTGTCTAATTTGGGGAATGATAGGGACATTAATTTATGCAGAACGACCTTCGCCAGTTTTGCAAATTATCTCACGTTTCCAACTGTCGTTAATGACCTCGAATACTCAGCAGACTAAACAGTGATTCCCTAAATGTATTGGAAAACAATTTAATTCTAGTTGTAACACGTCATTTTATTGGATAGAAAAATTAATTTATATCGTATAACCTGTGTTGCCTACGTCACAATGACTTACGTCAAAAGTGCATCAATCCAATAAAATAAAATTCATTAAAAGACATTTTTGAAGTAAAAATTGTCTTATTTCCCACAATTATTGACGGAAAATTAAATTATGAGGGATGAATTTAATAGCTACCCAAGTTATACTAGTATAACCTGGTTTGGAACAGTTTACGCTTTTTTATAAACCGCTTCATTCCTTAAATAAATAAACTTATTTCAATAGAGAAGTATATTATCATACACATGAAAATGACATATTTTTATATAACATATTGATACGAGTTTTATTTTGAAAACATTTTCATTAAAATGAAAAGGACTTATAAATTAAAAAAAATGGTATATACACTGTACATGTAGTATGTCTCTGAACAATTTTTATTACTGCTTGGAATTCATCCAAATATCTAGGATTGCGTTACTAGATAAAGATAAAGTACACATCATTCTTGTTCATGATGTTATTTTTGTGGTCGACTTCGGTAGATAACAGTTGATTCCATATGAGGCATCCGGCTGATTAACTATATGCGTACACATTACTCCCTGCATTACTTTGTATACTATGCACTGACAACTTCGTATGAATCTTTCTTAGTGTGTTAAGTACTATTGAGTATTATTTTGATGCATTTACTTTCAGGTGCAAACGATTATACAGTAACATGGTGTATAAACATATTTCTCTTTACATGCGTAGGAATTTCATTCGGAGGTACACTTCCTTTAAGGATTTAGTTTATGTTTCGGAAAGCAACAAAAATATCCATGTGAAATCTTATTAAAAAAGCGCGACGCACATATATCCTATTCTATTAATAGCATTGTCGACTTTCAGTATATCATCGTTTAAAAAGAAATTTAAAATCTCACTAAATTCAGTTTAGATAGATTTTGAATTTCACAGTTATGATGACTTTTTAAAAAAAAATACTGCATGACACATCACTTAGTTATAACAATATATGAAATCTCATTGCCTCTATCTACCTACGATGACGCTATTTCTAATAACAGAATGTATCGATTGACTTTGCACACGACTCATAATTCGTTTCTCTTTTAGCGGGAAACACTCATTCAGCAATTAACATACAAGGTCATTTAAACTATTTTCTTAGCCTTAACGTTGCTAGGGATATACCTGAACATAATTATTAATCCTTTTAATAAGAAAAAAGTCTGCAAAATTGAATGGGTGTGGTACTGACCAGAATATTTGTATTAATACTAAAGTTTCATTTCCTTGCAACTTTAATTAGGCACCATGTAAAGAGTTGATCGTTGATTTATCTGCAGAGTTGATTTTCTTTATAAAGTTCTAGCTCATTTGATTTCATGTCTCTCATCCCTCTCATCCCATTATCAGGCGTTCAATAATTGAAAATGCTCCAAAAATATCAAAAATCTCAAGGAAAGTGTATTTACCTACGGTAATTCTTTAAACTTCATCATTAAAGTTAAACACATTATATATAAAATAAGTAGGGATGTCAACGAGTACCCGGTTAACCGGGTACTCGATCGAACGTCCGAGTATCGAATACTAAAAATGGTACTCGGTTACTCGGAGTGTATTTTTTTTCTTATTTCAAAGTACATATTTTTATCAAAAACCTATCAATAACTTAAATATGCATACGGTAATTGGCGTGTCGTCATCTACACCTGTAAAACACCCGTTATCGCCTGTGGCTGTGTATATACAGTAATTAGTGACCAATCACCTGGTACACAGCTGTTCTCACCTATTGTGGTCCTTAATTTTTGGATGGCTTCAATGATTGTTTTCAGTGAACATAGTTTAAAGTACATTGTATGGTCTATAATCTTAAAGGAAGAAATATTTAGAAACAACTAAAGTTTTAAAAAAATGTTGAAAGTCAGTTTGCGTAGTTTAGTGTATATGGGGGAAACAACCAACATATGAAATGATATTAGACTAGTGATCCCAACAACGTCCGTTCCTTCCCTTTCGCTAGTCTAATCACCACAAACCTGCATAACAGATTGTCTTCCTTTTGTGTTGATGAAATAGATCCTAATCAAAAAGTGTAAACCATTTGTAATTTTTGATGTATTAATTGTGTCGTTTGTGTTCATTTGGTAAGTAAATTTAGTACCAAAAAATCATTTCCCTTTGACTCAATTGTTTATATACATTTATAAACGTGAAAAAAAAAACAGCTTTGGGGTTTAACAGAGCTTAACCGGGCTCAAGAAATTTAACACACTTGTATGTATTTTCAGTTTTACCGAGTATCCGGGTACTCGATCGGAAAAACGTCCGAGTAACCGATTATCAAAAATTGACCGATTTGACATCCCTAAAAATAAGTAAATCTTAGATAAATACTCAGCAAATGCAAATAAAAACATCTATCATAGATAACTTCTAATTTCATATAATGCTATTAAACATTGGTATCTAATGCTAGATTAAATGAGATTTGATTTCTTGAAACATGTAACTCTTAAAATACATTTGTTGGGGTATAAATGTCAACTTTTTTTAAGACCGCACAAACAGAGATGTATAAAATG